CTCAACAATAGCCAAGTGTGGAAAAGAGGACTTTCTGCATCCATCAACTGATGAATGGCTAAAAATTGTGTGGTTTATACACACAATGGAGTACTAGATGGCAATGAGAGGAAAAGAATGAAATATGGCCTTGTAACAGCGATGGATGGAACTGGAGAGTGTGTGTACTGAAAATAAGCCATGAAAAGACCAGGAGCTACCATATGTTTCTTTCTTATGTGGATCTGAGAAACTTAACAGAAACCCATAGGGGAGGGGTAGAAAAAAAAAAAAAAAGGTTAAGTGGGGGAGAGAAACAAGCTTATAAGAACTCTTAAAAAGCAACAAGCGAGGGTTGATGGTAGGAGGGAGGAGGGGAGGAGAGGTAGGTGATGGGCATTGAAGAGGGGCATCTTTTAGGATAATGAGCACTGGGTGTTGTATGGAAACCAATTTGACAATAAATTTCATATATTAAAAAAAAAAGATGCCCTGAAACTAAATAAACCTTTTATGAAATTCGGAAGCATAGCAAAATTACAAAATAAAGAAATAAGAGCTCTAGACAAACTTGAACAAGGCCAAATATAAAAGAAGTATAATAAATTTTTAGAGTTTGTTTTAAAATGTAGCCAAGGCTTATATTTGGGTTTATTAACCTAAATAAGTCATTGCAGTACAAGTTACCAAGGAAGGCTGTTTTCTGGACTGGTCTTCTGTAGAGAAAAGCATCCTTTCATGGAACAGGGAAGAGAGTGACTGCTAAATATTAGTATTTATATTTTTAAGGCATGTTAAGACACATGGGACACATGGAGTCCTTTCAATTTAGGAACCCCTGAGCTGTGTTTCTACAAGTTCAAGAGAATTTTCATTCATTTGTTCTTCAAACACACATCAAACATCCACTACGACCAGGCCACTGTGCCATATACTAGGGCTTCATTTCTCCTTTTTCTAAAGCAGGACATGTGTTTTCTGCCTGTTAGAAGAGCGGAGATTTGCCCTTGGACATAGATTTATTTCAAACAGAAATATAAAAAAAAATTTTTTTGGCCAACATTTAAAAATCAGATTTTAGTGGTGCCTGGGTGGCTCAGTCAGTTAAGCATCTGACTTTGGCTCAGGTCATGATCTCGTGGTCGTGGGTTCAAGCCCCACATCGGGCTCTGTGCCGACAGCTCAGAGCCTGGAGCCTGCTTCGGATTCTGTGTCTCCCCCTACTCATACGGTCTCTCTCCATCTCTCAAAAATGAATAAACGTTAAAAATTTTTTTAAATAAAAAAGATCAGATTTCCTACAGGGCCAGATTTCTGTTTTCTTTAGAAACCTGAGTGGAAATGCTGACCACAGTAGGCAGGATCCCCATGTGGCTACACTTGGCTGCTTTTCCTCTTAGCCCTGTTGGCAGAGTCCCCACTGCTCCCAGTCACCTCATTCCTAGCCGGGCAGTGCCCTTCAGCAACCAGCATGCCCATGGTAGTGGTTAGGCAGAAATCAGTCACAGAATAAAAAGGACAAGCCTCAGGGTACCTGGATGGTTCAGGCAGTTAAGCGTTTGAGACTCTTTTTGGCTTAGGTCGTGATCTTACCTGTTTGGTTTGTGAGATGAAGCCCCACAGCATGAAGCCTGCTTGGATTCTCTCTCTCCCTCCCCTCACTCTCTTTGTGCCCCTTCCCTTCCCCCACTTGCATTCACGCTCACACACACAGTCTCAAGAAAAAAAAAAAAAAGAAGGACCAGGCTCAAGCTGTATGAGGCCTATTTTATTAAGCCAATTGCAAGACTATTCTGGAATTTCAAAACATTTCTTTCCCCCAGTAGCGAGAATGAGTAATAGTTTTAGGGAGGTTGGTCTAAATTTGGGAGATGATTTGAGACCATGTTTCAAAAGCATCAGCGACAAAAGGGGTCATCTCATGCAAGAGGAGCAAAGTCTCTACCCTCCTTCTCTGGGGGTGAAGGTTCAGAAGACTCAATATTAAGCTAAAGTGCAGTGCAGCTAAGGGTTGAGCTCAGTGCAGCTTGGAAACCTCAAAGTCCTGCAGGCAGGGCTGGGGAACATCTTCATGAGGTTCTCACACGATGCAGACATAGGAGGCCTATACACTCCCCGACACAAGGCCTACTTGGCCCTACCCAGTCAGCACAACCTTGGGCTTTCATGGAAAGCCCAGTGAGAGAGGAGGGGGATTTGGCAGTGAGCAAGTTCCAGAGCAGAGTTGCTGGCTGAAGATCCCCCTTGCTCAAACTGTAATGTATCTCTGCAGAAGGCTGGGGGATTTAAAGGGAGAACACAGTTTTTTCAGAGTAGAGCCTGACAGGAGAGAGGACAGAAGGCGAGGGAGGCATTAAACACCAGATTATAACAAGGGTGTCTATTTTTGAAATAGTGTTCTAAATATATCATGAGCCATCCTTATAAAGGTAATGATTACCAGCAGAAAGTTTGTTCTGGGTCAGAAAGGCACAGTGAAAATTTTGTAATTGTCTTGAGACTGCCCTCAAAAGGCACCCAGGACAGAAAGGGCATTGGCACACTGCGTGATCCAGGCGACTGACCTCACACAAGGGTCGCTGGCTGAATTTAGCGCTTATACACGCCTAAGGATGTTCTCAGCAATTTCACAGCACATGACAGCTGTGTGGCACATCTGTTCGGGATCCAAAACATCAGTTACACAAGCATTCACTGGGGAAGATTGGAGTTGGCACCCGTTCTGCAAAGAGAGCTGGGAGTCTGAATTGAGTGTAAGCTTAACACACTAAGTTTAACGAAATGCAAAACTGCGTCCATAGAATTCTAACACCCAGTTGTGTTGCATGCTGAGCTAGTCAAACCACACTTGGAGGACTGTGATAAATTCAGGCCCTTTTAAGAAAGACATTGGGAAATCAGTATGTTCCTTGGAGGACAGTCAAGAAGAATCTAGAAATCATCCCATGGGAAACGGTTGAAAGACATGGAGGTGACAGGCCTCCAGTTTAACCAGAAGGAGAGAAGGCTAGAGAGGGAGATAGGATAGCTGTCTTCAGACAAAGCCCCGGCTGTCACAGTGCTTGTAAAGCCATGTTTGAAACAAAGTGATAAGTAAATGAAGACCACAGTAGGTGTGCGTGTGTCTTCCAAGGAAGAGCAAGGACACATAGTAAAAATTACAGGGAGGGAGGCAGAGTTAAAACTCCCGAAAAAGTAATCTGGAACAACCAGTGCGGTCTGTGGCGGGACAGGATTTACGTAGGGGCTGAATGAGCCTTTGTGAGGGATTTCTAGGAGGAACGGCTACCTGCAGTGGTAACCAGGTTCTCAAGAAGTGGGGGTGGGGGTGGGGGGTGAAGGCTTTGTGGTTGGACACACTTAGGAGCAAATTGTATGGTTGCCATTTAGCTGTGTGACCTTAAGATATCCAGCATTAGGTTCTTCATCCGGTCAATGGGGACAAGACCACTCGTGCTGATGTGTTCTTGTGAGAAGTAACTGAGCTGATATGTGTGAGGTGCTAGAGACGGCATGGGCTCTGGAGAGATGTGTGTGGTAAGAAGTCGCTTCAGAAGCTCATCACGTTTACTTAGTCCCCTTTGTGCCTTCAGAGCCCTGACATGGCCTGCACAGGGCAGCTGTTCAGCATGTGCGTTGGCATTTTTTTTTTTTTTTTAAATCAGTGCTCTGGGTAAGTCGTGGCCCTAGGCAGTTCTAGAAGTGGACTCTTATTGAGGCCACGTGGCCAATGGACAATGTGCCTGGTGGAAAGAAAATGAGGTCTGGCATCAGACACAGGTTCCAACCTTAGCTCTCCACTGGGTCAAATTACTTAACCTTTCTGAAATGCATTTTACTCCTCTGAGGCGATGCCTGTCTTGTGTGAGTGAATTAGCAGGTGTGAAGGGCTTGGTATTCTTTTCTCATTGGGATCCTCTCAACAGTCCAGGGAGGCAGGTAATTCCTTTTACATTTATAAGAAATAAGGTTCAGAGAGTTGAAGAGATTTGCCTCCAAAAATAGAACTAGTACTGATTTGGTCCAATTCTTTTAACCTCAAGGCTTATCATCTTTGTCTTCTCAGTTGTGACAAACATTTTTTAGAGTCTGCTGTGTGCCAGGAATTATGTGGAGTATTTCCACGTTTCCTCATTGACAGGAATTATGTGGAGTATTTCCACGTTTCCTCATTGACTTTTAGGTCCCCCATGGAGAGGTCACTCAATGGGGTAAACTTTCCTAGACATTTGGGAAAGTTGATTCTTCATGGGAATCTGGTTCCCGTTGGCACCTGGCTCTGGGAGGGACACTCAAGGCACAGTGAAGGGCAGAGGGAGATTCCTGTCCAGTCACATTAGCTCCTCAGCCTTGACCATCAAAGGAGGGACAGCTATCGTGGATCTTGAACAGAGGACGCCGTCAGCTGTTGGACAGCTGTGCCAGAGCGCACCCGCTGGCAGTCCTCAGGTTTTCTCTAGCCGGTAGACTTGTTCTATGGGGTTGCGCAGGGCTGTAAAAATGAATTCTTTGCAAATCTAAATCAGGAATTTGTACATAAAAATACATAACGAAGGGTGCCTGGGTGGCTCAATTAAGTGTGCAACTTCGCCTTGGGTCATGATCTCACGGTTCAAGGGTTCGAGCCTCACACTGGGCTCTGCACGGACAGCTCGGAGCCTGCTTCAGATTCTGTGTCTCCCTCCCTCTCTGCCCCTCCCCTGCTCACGCTCTGGGTCTCTCTCAAAAATAAACATTAAAAAAAATACATAACGTAAGATTTTTGGTGTCTCTTGGGGAATGGGACAGTCGGGCAACCCTGAACTCACGTTCTCCCTGACAGCAACCCCCCTGCCCCAGCATGCTGCTGCTCCCTTTGGGTGGGGCAGAGACTCTCCCAACCTTCCTTCGGCCCATGTCATCCTTACCTTACTCCAAGTAGCTGGCGTGAATATTTAGTACCCTGCGCATAGTTTACATTAATGATAACATTGTCTCTGAGCTTTTTACTAGCGAGGTCTTTTTTCTTCCCCCATCCCTAGTCTGTGACTGCAGTGGGAAGTCCAGCCAATGCGTCTTTGATCAAGAGCTTCACAGACAGACAGGCAACGGGTTCCGCTGCCTCAACTGCATTGACAACACCGATGGCGTTCACTGCGAGAGGTGCAAGGAGGGGTTCTACCGACAGAGAGAGAGGGATCGCTGCTTACCCTGCAACTGTAACCCCAGAGGTAATGTGCGACAGCAAGAACAGACCTGGAGGGTAGTATGCTGAGTGAGAGGAGTCAGACTGAGAAAGACAAACACCATATGATTCCACTCCTAAGCGGAATTAAAGAAAACCCACAAATGAGTGAACAAAAAAGAATCAGGGGAGCCTGGCTGGCTCAGTCAGAAGAGTGGGAGACTCTTGATCTTGGGGGTGGCGAGTTTGAGCCTCATGTTGGGTGTAGACATTAAATAAATTTAAAAAAAGGGGGGGCAGAATCAGACCTATACAGAGAACCAACCAATGGTTGCCAGAAGGGAGGGGAGGTGGGGGGGATGGGCAAAATAGGTGCAGGGGAGAGGGAATACAGTGATATTGTGATAGTGTCCTATGGTGACAGGTGGTAGCTACACTTGTGGGGAACACAGCATGACCTACAGAGATGTTGAATCACTGTGTTGTACACCTGAAACTAACGTAACCTTGTGTGTTGACTATGCTAAAAAAAAAAAAAA